GTGGCAAATATCAGAAGTGGCGTTAGACGTTCACAAATCACTATTAATTTCCCAGAAATTCTTTTTTGATCGAGTACTTGCCATTTTCCAGTTACAATGCGTAAATCATAAAATCAAAATTTGGTTAATAACAGACTATGCAATTCAACTTCTGATCTGAACAGATTATACAGCGTACCACTTGAGAAATGGTGACGCATAGAAAACAATATATTGCTTTTTCATCTTTATGATATACGTAGGCTTACATACATCTGAATGTTAGTAAACTTTCCCTCATGGATAGAAGTCCGTTCATGAAAATAATACTAATTACATATATATATATCATAATCAACATCTCATGGCATTCCACTGTAGGACATGGAGCTCTCTCAATTCATGTTTGTGAAGAAAAACCGTCGAAATACCGGTAAAAGTAACTAGGAAACTACCTATAAACTCTTCTAACGTGGTTGGTCCTGTCTAGCTTGGGCTTACGAAGAGCAACACGCAAGCATGCTCACAAAATCAAGGTATATTCCCAGAGTATGTAGTCAGAAAAATAAGTATCGTTACCCTTTGCACAAACTAATATGAAAAATCGACGAAGTGGTGTGGAATATCAAGATAAGGTAGAAACGTAAACCGGTGTTAACAGAGAGAATCATTCAGTTCCTCATTGAACACAAGTAAAAGTAAAGAAAGTTTTTTTTTCTGACTGTATATATATGTATCTATGCTCGCACACACTCATATATATGTGTGTGTGTATGTGTGTGTCTCCTTTACATATCACAGAATACATTTCGTAGCACTTACCACCGCCAACCCCTTCATTGTGCTTGAGACTTTGCAGGATGTGATTCCTTCAAGCAAGCACTGGATGCTTATATAGTCCTGAGACCGAGTGCCATGATGGCATTGGAATGGAGGGAGTTGGGGGGATGAGATTGGCATTCAGTGAAAGTATATACCGGCAGAAAAGGAAGATGAGATATGGGTGAATGACTGTTTTTCTTATCATTTATCATGCAGTACCCGTGGGTGCCTCCGTGTAATGCAGATATGATTGAAGCAAAATCATAACGGAATGGAATATACCTTTTCCGTTATAATATCACACTTGTACATAACCTTGGGACTGGCCATAAGGCATTCGGATCTCACGTGGCGATGAGGCTTTGTACATGCAGCTCATGTCTAATATGATATCAGGCCGCAAGCGACTCGAATGACAAGGGACTTGTTATAAATATCCCATGACCGTGTTATTGAAATCGCACACAAACGCATACAAACACATGCACACACACACACACACGCACGCACACATGCGTACATATATGCATATACATATTACATTGTGGGTTTTTCTACCATAGTATCTACACGGTAGAGTGTTTTCATCATTCATACATATATGTATATATATACATATATATGTATGTTTGTATATCTATATACACAAATATATAGCAAATATATATGTAGCAGTATGTGCTCCATGTCATGTTTTTAGTGTTTAGTTGTGTAACGCGTTTTTAGTGTTTTAGTGTTACGTTTTGATACGCGTTTGTGTTACGTTTTGATACGCGTTTCTGTTACGTTTTGTTACGTATTTTAGTGATGCGTTTGTGATGTGGCACGTTTTAGTGTTAGGTTGTGACGTGTTTCGTTTTAGTGTTACGTTTTCTTTTGTTACGTGTCACGTTTGTGTGTTTTTTTATGTCACGTTTTAATGTTTGTTATTTTGTTACGTGTCACGTTTTAATGTTAGTTTTTTTACGTGTCACGTTTTAATGTTAGTTTTTTGTTACGTGTCACATTTTAATGTTAGTTTTTTGTTAAGTGTCACGTTTTAATGTTAGTTTTTTTTTTGTTACGTGTCACGTTTTAATGTTACGGTGTTGAGTGTCACGCTTTTAGTGTCACGTTTTAATGTTAGTTTTTTTTTACGTGTCACGTTTTAATGTTTGTTATTTTGTTACGTGTCACGTTTTAATGTTAGTTATTTTGTTACGTGTCACGTTTTAATGTTTGTTATTTTGTTACGTGTCACGTTTTAATGTTAGTTTTTTTTTACGTGTCACGTTTTAATGTTAGTTTTTTTTTTGTTACGTGTCACGTTTTAATGTTAGTTTTTTGTTACGTGTCACGTTTTAATGTTAGTTTTTTTTGTTACGTGTCACGTTTTAATGTTAGTTTTTTTTTTTGTTACGTGTCACGTTTTAATGTTTGTTATTTTGTTACGTGTCACGTTTTAATGTTAGTTTTTTGTTACGTGTCACGTTTTAATGTTAGTTTTTTGTTACGTGTCACGTTTTAATGTTTGTTATTTTGTTACGTGTCACGTTTTAATGTTAGTTTTTTTTTACGTGTCACGTTTTAATGTTAGTTTTTTGTTACGTGTCACGTTTTAATGTTAGTTTTTTTTGTTACGTGTCACGTTTTAATGTTAGTTTTTTTTGTTACGTGTCACGTTTTAATGTTAGTTTTTTGTTACGTGTCACGTTTTAATGTTAGTTTTTTGTTACGTGTCACGTTTTAATGTTAGTTTTTTTTTACGTGTCACGTTTTAATGTTTGTTATTTTGTTACGTGTCACGTTTTAATGTTAGTTTTTTGTTACGTGTCACGTTTTAATGTTAGTTTTTTTTTACGTGTCACGTTTTAATGTTAGTTTTTTGTTACGCGTCACGTTTGTGTTTTTTTATGTGTCACGTTTTAATGTTTGTTATTTTGTTACGTGTCACGTTTTAATGTTAGTTTTTTTTTACGTGTCACGTTTTAATGTTAGTTTTTTTTTACGTGTCACGTTTTAATGTTAGTTTTTTTTGTTACGTGTCACGTTTTAATGTTAGTTTTTTGTTACGTGTCACGTTTTAATGTTAGTTTTTTTTTGTTACGTGTCACGTTTTAATGTTAGTTTTTTGTTACGTGTCACGTTTTAATGTTAGTTTTTTGTTACGTGTCACGTTTTAATGTTTGTTATTTTGTTACGTGTCACGTTTTAATGTTAGTTTTTTGTTACGTGTCACGTTTTAATGTTAGTTTTTTTTTACGTGTCACGTTTTAATGTTTGTTATTTTGTTACGTGTCACGTTTTAATGTTAGTTTTTTGTTACGTGTCACGTTTTAATGTTTGTTATTTTGTTACGTGTCACGTTTTAATGTTAGTTTTTTGTTACGTGTCACGTTTTAATGTTAGTTTTTTTTTACGTGTCACGTTTTAATGTTAGTTTTTTGTTACGTGTCACGTTTTAATGTTTGTTATTTTGTTACGTGTCACGTTTTAATGTTAGTTTTTTTTTACGTGTCACGTTTTAATGTTAGTTTTTTGTTACGTGTCACGTTTTAATGTTAGTTTTTTTTTACGTGTCACGTTTTTAGTTACGTGGTTTTGTGTTACGTGTCTTGCACATTTTGTATTTGTTTGCAAAATGAATAGTTCGATGGTAGGATTTTACTAAGAAAGCTATCGGAGAACTCGCCAGACTCCCTTTTTTTCGAGACATTCAAAGTCTCGTGGTGGCAGTGTGAACTAAGGATCAATATCCAGTGAAAAAATAATTTCAGCCTTAAGCACTACTTGTGTGTTGGGAGTCACTACACAGTACTTAAAAATGCGTTGTCATTTATAATATACTTTCTTAAATTCAACTAACTCAAGCTATTTCAAGGGCGAATCTTTAGTAACAGTTTAGATTGCATTTGCTTTTGAAAAATGTAGTGTATGTATGTATTTGGCTATATTCTTTTCTGAAGTATCCCCCACAAATTCTTTGTTTTTAGATGAGGTGATGTAAAAGCATGGTGGTGAGAGTTTTGTTTAATAAATACTTACCATAAATATATTTATATCATTTTCATATCTAAGCATAGGTAGAAGCGGGTTTGTAGGCAGGAGCAGCCTTATACTCAGGGTACCTGGCCTCACCCTTGTAGCCGACCTCAGCCACGTAGCCAGAGACGCCGTTGACAGTGTAGGCGACTTTCTGCAGACGACCATTGGTAAGGAGGATGTAGTAGTAATCCTGGGTGTCGTAACCATCACGGGCCTCCTGGTGACCAATGTTATTTCCGGAATAGTTGTCTTTATCGGCGTAGTTAAATTCATACTTAACAATGATAATAAAAAAAAAGAAGAAAAAGAAAAAAAAGAATATAAAAAGTATATGCTGCAAGTATTAGAAGTAATTGATGTAATTATAGGCAATGCGTATTTATCATTAGAAGCGAGTTAATCTTACGTCATGGGTTGCAGAAGCATAGCTAGGTCTGAAATTGGACACACAATCTTTAATGTAGGAAGCTACGAAGAACATAACGTATATATATGCATGTATGCCTTGCTGCATATGCAACAGGAACTAGGGAAACTAGTTGATATGTTGGCGAATATTTCTGAAATTCCAATTCCGAAGCTGAGAGATGACACCCCAGCTTAGTGAACATTATGAAGAATATACTATTAACTACTATTACCAGTAGTAATAAGGGTATTAGTAATACTATTCAATATTATAATTTTATTTTTCTGGTTATTATTATTATTATGATGATCATCACCATCATTATCTTCATTGCCATTGTAATTTTATCATTATCAATGCTATCATTATCATTATTATCATTACATACACAACGATTTCTCAGATGATCCACATCTAAAGACCTCATGTTATATACATAGCATGCCTTCGAGGTAAGCTTACGAAGCAGAAATGACATTAGTTGGATTTTAGCATTAGTAACACTGCTCAATGCATTCATATATATACTGCATATATCTATATATGTATGTATATACATACATATGTATACATATACGCTTATATACATATACATATATATTTATATATGCATTCATATATATACATACATACATGTTATATACATAAATATATACACATATATCTGTGTGTACATATGTATATGTATATATAATAGATAAATATATGGGGAGGTCTAGACCTTCCGGTCCAATAGGAAAAATGACAAATCAACTTTAAACAGCGAATGACTTTATTTCAATTCTCTGATTACAACAGGAAATCAGTGATGATTGTTGGTTTGGCATTCATATATTTGTTTTAGTAAGGCTAGAATATTAAGTAATAAATAATTATTTCGATACTTTGAGAGAAGCTTATCGACATTAATGAGGAGCACCATAGCTGGAAGGAGGAGGTGTACGAGGAGTACCATATTTGGAAGGAGGTGTAGGAGGAGTAGGAGGCAGATAAGTGTGTCCGTGTGTAGGTTCCTTAGCCTCTCCTTCGTAAGTAACTACAGCCACGAAACCGGAGTCGCCGTCGACAGTGTAAGTGACTTTCTGGACTCGCGTGTCGGGAAGCAAAACGTTGTAGAATCCCTCGGTCTTTTCTCCGTCACGGTGTTCCTGCATGTTATATTCGTTGCCGGAATAATGGTCGTTTACTGCCCAATCGAACCAGTACTTCGGCTTCTCCTGCGGGTGAGGGACGTGTAAATTCAAATCAGTTGACGGTTCTGTTGTAAATGCCGTCTCATAATCACCATCAACAATACTAATGACGGAGGTAGTAATGGATATCATAGTACCTAATAATGACAATGAATATGGCATTCATGATTATATAGATAACAATGATGATATAGATAATAAAAATGATATAGATGATATTAATATAGATAATGGTAAAGATGGTATAGTTAATAATGGGTGTAATAGAAATACCATTACTGCTATAGAAAGTAATGACTGCTTAAATGACATTGATATTGAGACAAACAATGAAACACGAGTAACAATTACAATAATTGCTTTCATGTTTGCAGCAGTTGCAATAATGATGATAGTAATAATGACCAATTCACTAATGACCTAATTATTTTAACAACAAAAAATAAATGACATCAAACAGCGCTAAGAATATCCATGATAATGGGAACGATAACAATAGCAACAATAACTACTAATATTGAGAGTAAGAGGAGCAACAGGCTTTTTTTTTTTTTTTTTTTTCTCGTAATGCCCTTCAAATTACTTACTGTTGTGACAGGTGGCCCATATGTATAGGGTAGGGGCTTGGCAGTGGTGTAGGGGCGGTAGGTTGAGGGAGTGGCGGTGGTGTAGGGCCGGTAGGTTGTCGTGATAGGTGGCCCATATGTATAGGGTGGGGGCTTAGCAGTGGTGTAGGGCCGGTAGGTTGAGGGAGTGGCGGTGGTGTAGGGGCGGTAGGTTGAGGGAGTGGCGGTGGTGTAGGACCGGTAGATTGGGGGAACAGGAGGTGGAGGCGGGGTTTTGGTGGGGGGCACATACGTAGGAGGCTGGGGTGGTGGTGGAGGTAATTTGTAACCATTCTGGGGTGGCGGGTGGGCATGCGGAGGGTGGTTATGATGCCCACCAAGCCGATCGGGAACGGCGAGCGAAACCGCCAAAAAACAGAGGCTCGCGAGGATCTGTGAAGATGTGGCAAATATCAGAAATGGTGTTAGACGTTCACAAATCACTATCAATGTCCCAGAAAATCTTTTTTGATCGAGTACTTGCCATTTTCCAGTTACAATGCGTAAATCATAAAATCAAAATTTGGTTAATAACAGACTATGCAATTCAACTTCTGATCTGAACAGATTATACAGCGTACCACTTGAGAAATGGTGACGCATAGAAAACAATATATTGCTTTTTCATCTTTATGATATACGTAGGCTTACATACATCTGAATGTTAGTAAACTTTCCCTCATGGATAGAAGTCCGTTCATGAAAATAATACTAATTACATATATATATCATAATCAACATCTCATGGCATTCCACTGTAGGACATGGAGCTCTCTCAATTCATGTTTGTGAAGAAAAACCGTCGAAATACCGGTAAAAGTAACTAGGAAACTACCTATAAACTCTTCTAACGTGGTTGGTCCTGTCTAGCTTGGGCTTACGAAGAGCAACACGCAAGCATGCTCACAAAATCAAGGTATATTCCCAGAGTATGTAGTCAGAAAAATAAGTATCGTTACCCTTTGCACAAACTAATATGAAAAATCGACGAAGTGGTGTGGAATATCAAGATAAGGTAGTTAGAACCGTAATTCGGTGTTACCAGAGAGAATCATTCAGTTACTTATTGAACACAAGTAAAAGTAAAGAAAGTTTTTTTTCTGACTGCATATATATGTATCTATGCTCGCACACACTCATATATATATGTGTGTGTGTGTGTATGTGTGTCTCCTTTATATATCACAGCATGTATTTCGTAGCACTTACCACCGCCAACCCCTTCATTGTGCTTGAGACTTTGCAGGGTGTGATTCCTTCAGGCAAGCACTGGATGCTTATATAGTCCTGAGACCGAGTACCATGATGGCATTGGAGTGGAGAGAGTTGGGGGGATAAGATTGGCATTCAGTGAAAGTATATACCGGCTGAAAAGGAAGATGAGATATGAGTGAATGACTGTTTTTCTTATCATTTATCTTGCAGTACCCGTGGGTGCCTCCGTGTAAAGAGATATGATTGAAGCAAAATCATAACGGAATGGAATATACCTTTTCCGTTATACTATCACACTTGTACATAACTTTGGGACTGGCCATAAGGCATTCGGATCTCACGTGGCGATGAGGCTTTGTACATGCAGCTCATGTCTAATTTGATATCAGGCTGCAAGCGACTCGAATGACAAGGGACTTGTTATAGATATCCTATGACCGTGTTACTGAAATCGCACACAAACACATACACACACATGCACGTACGCACGCACACATGCGTACATATATACATGTGTATATATGCATATATACACACACATGTATATATATATATATATATATATATATATATATATATGTATGTTTGCATATCTATATACACAAATATATGATTACATTATGTACACACCATCATATATGTGTGTGTTGTACGTTTGTATATGTGTATATGTATGAATATATTACCACACACATACACATGTTTATATATATGTGTGTGTGTACGTTTGTATATGTGTATATGTATGAATATATTACCACACACATACACATGTTTATATATATGTGTGTGTGTACGTTTGTATATGTGTATATGTATGAATATATTACCACACACATACACATGTTTATATATATGTGTGTGTGTACGTTTGTATATGTGTATATGTATGAATATATTACCACACACATACACATGTTTATATATATGTGTGTGTGTACGTTTGTATATGTGTATATGTATGAATATATTACCACACACATACACATGTTTATATATATGTGTGTGTGTACGTTTGTATATGTGTATATGTATGAATATATTACCACACACATACACATGTTTATATATATGTGTGTGTGTACGTTTGTATATGTGTATATGTATGAATATATTACCACACACATACACATGTTTATATATATGTGTTTGTGTTCGTGCGTGTATATGTTTGTATGTATGTATATATGTATATATATATGTATGTTTGCATATCTATATACACAAATATATATACATATGTACACTCCCATATATATGTGTGTGTGTACGTTTGTATATGTGTATATGTATGAATATATTACCACACACATACACATGTTTATATATATGTGTGTGTGTACGTTTGTATATGTGTATATGTATGAATATATTACCACACACATACACATGTTTATATATATGTGTGTGTGTACGTTTGTATATGTGTATATGTATGAATATATTACCACACACATACACATGTTTATATATATGTGTGTGTGTACGTTTGTATATG